TCAATTCAACATTGGCAGGAAAAAATATGCAAGTGTGTGTAGTTTCACATTAGTAATGGTTTATCCAAGGTTAGTCAACTTATCCGCAGGACCCAGTGCTTTTATCTAAATGCTAAAAGCAATATTGTGATAAAAGCTCTACTCCTTTCATACACACATGTCCACATCATGCCACATGTACAAAAAGAAAAGAGCTTGCATCATGTTGGCAGGGAGTTTGCATTGGGATATTGCTTTTGTTTGACCTTTCTTGTGAATACCTCTGTGAGCTACATTGTTTCATGACCAGATAATTTAGTCTCTTCTCATTTTCCCCTTAGCCACTTTGCCCAATTTCCCTCTCTTTAGATGGGAAATGCTTGCTTGTCATAATGGCCAATTTAAACATCCTTATGGTAAATTTTCTATGGAAAATGGGGAATGAAACAATTGCAATGAAGTAGCAATTGGGTGATGGATGCTAACAGCACAATTCAATTCATGTTTGCTAGAAGGAGATCCTATGATTTATGATTTACCGGTATTTATATGTAGACTAAGAGCTTATGTACTGGAGACAAATTCCTTGTGTAACCAATCACACTTGGTCAATAAAGAATTACTCTACTTTACTCTACTTTACTTTCTACATAGGAATGTGAAATATATATTTTATAGTAATACAATGGATATATTAATATCCAAATATTAAATTTTAGATATAAAACATTAAAAAAATGTTTCACAAAATATTTGCTATTATTTTGACTAAATAAGTCTAATAAATAAACTAAACTAAAATAAGTAAGATGGACATTCCTTATTGAAATGTTTAAGTAGCTATATCTTCCAGAAGATTTGGCATGCATACCACAGATTCAGTCAGGGAAAGTCTTCGGACTGGTCATGTCAAACTTTAAAAAGTTCCTTTAATAGTTTTAGGAACTGAGCATTATGAAACATAAAAAAGATAAATAATGTCCTTTGGAATGCTTTGCATAGTATTGTCTCTGGAGTGAGATTTTCTCTGGATTACTATTAAAATTAATAAATGAACTTTCATATTATTAGTTGCATTGAATCACATTTAACTTCTATACAAATGACTTGAAGTAATGACCCTATGAATATAATTTACATTGAACTTACGTTTACTTTCCCTGACCCCAGATTCTTAAATGCTTTAGAAATTCTTTATTGAGGTGATATAGCTTAACAATTGTAACTCCATTTAACATTGACCTCAGAATCCAGTTATTTGATCGGATGTCTCTGTAGATATATAGAGTGCATGTCTGACCATAGTTATACATTTCTTTTCTTTAGATCAAAAGAAAGTGCAACGACCAGAAACTTCTGTTGCAGAAATAGCACTATAAAACTTTTAACCTTGGTTGCCATGGAAATACAATTGTTGTCAGCAATTCTTCTGAGACAATTGTTACATGCTAATATAGGCCTTTATACTCCTTGTTGCTGAGGGATGTTAAGGTTTCATTAAGTGTAATTCAGTCTTTATTAACTATGACATTACCAAAGTTTAGAGGATATTGATGTGCAATATTTTATGCTCCAGATGATATAATAAAGCTTAGGTCTATGCTACTGAAATAATTATCTTTACTTTTATACCATTATCGCACCTTTTTATCACCACTACCAAAACAAATAAACAATTTGTAGAATTCAAAGCTCAAGCTATCGGATCAAATTTCCAACAGCATATAGAGCATTTCTTCTAAAAGTGATGTATAAATATCTAAAGATCTCAGTGGTCATGTAGTATAAGACAGTAGAATGTATTATTTCGCATATCTACCAAGAGGCTAAATACCAGCTTTTGGGACTCAGGAAACATCTCTCAAGAATGTTGACTTTTTGTAGAATTTGGCTTGCGGACATCAGATGTTGCTGTAATACAATTCTCACCATCCCTAAAAAGCATGGCAAATAGTGAGAGATTTTGGGAATTATAGTTCAACAATAGAAATGCCACTGTTTGCTTCCTGTATTTAGCACCTTAACATTCTCAACTGATTTAGAATATACTGAGAAAGAGACCTGGGTACCAGCACACTGGTATACCTGCAATCCTTTCAGAATAGCCCAGGTTAGAAAAGAGACACTAGAAAGATTACAGGAATGCTGCTATTGTCATACCTTACTAGTTGTAGGATATGATAATACAATTTCAAAAGCTCTCCAGAGTCGTGCTCTGCCCCACCAAATTCCAAACAAATTGAAGGCATGATTATTTTGATTTTTGTTCATATCATTTCCTTTCCCAGGATTAAATTGTCTATTATTTTGCCAAGTGCATAGTTCGTGTGTGTGTGTGTGTGTGCGCGCGCGCGCGCATGGGCATATACACACATACAAACAGAAGAAGTATGTGAAACATCACTGTGGAAATATCTTAAAATCAAATAGAAATTTTCCACTCCTTTGAAATTAATTTTCAAAAGAGAATCAAAATCATTATAACTATATCATCCCCAAACCCAGCTAACAGAGGAAGACTTTTTTTAAAAAAAATCACAGCTGATTATTTTAAAAAACTAGTGATCATTGTTTCCTATCCAAATAATGTTTTCTGACCATTATACTAACCAAACAGCTTAGGTGTCGCAACTTATAAAATGTGCCTAGGGAATCTGTTTTAGCTAATGATTCATAACTATTTTAACACCCTTTTTATTATCTGTCCCATAGAGTTGGGATAACTTATCATAGCTTATTTAAATTCCATACCTTTGAGTTGAAAAGAACCTGATTGCAATTAACCTACTTTGGATCCCACATTGTTGACAGAATATGATGAGTGGCCTCCTTCTGAGCACAACCAATTAGAATTAGAAATGTCATATTCCTTTACTGCTCCCCCTGGGTTGTCACTTGCCAGCCGTTTCTCAGTGAAATGTTGATACTGTGGATGGCTTTCTCCTTTCCTCATATCTGGAAAGCAATGTGGTCATGCAAGCAGAGAAAACTAGAATCAGCTATTGATACCATTGACCATGGAATCCTTCTGGGCCTGCTGTACGAGTTGGGAATGAGTAACATTGTGTTGTGCTGATTTTCCTCCTTCTTCCAATTTCAGTCAGTGTTGATGATTTGGGAGAGATCCAGGCTGTGGCCCTTACTTTGTAAGGTGCCTCAAGGTTCTGTTCTTTCTCCCCTTTAATTTAACATTTGCATGAGGCCTTTGGGTGAGGTGATCCATTAGTTTGGGGGTGAGATATCTTCAATATACAGATGACACCCAGCTTTATATCTATACTCCAGGCCATTTGAGTGATGCTATGGTTGTCCTACTCCAGTGTCTGGAGGTTGTTTGGGATTGTTTGGGACAAAATGGGCCCTCACTCAATATTAGCCATATGGGCTGGTTGTGAGTATTTGGACCTTCTGAAGATAAAGTTCTTCCATCTCTAATTCTGAATGGGATGGCACTAGCCCAAACAGATCTAGTTCACAATCAAGCTCCTGCTTGAAGAGAAAGTGGCATCTATAGTTAGGAAAGCCTTGCACAACTTTGAGTACAGCTCCAATTATTCCAATTTCTAGATTGGGAGGCTCACCATCACACATGGCCCAACCCTGTTAGCTTTTCACAAAGTTTTAAAAACATCGCTATGTACCTGGGGCTTTGAATGTCTTAAGGGCCCCATTACTTGATTTTACTATTAGTCGATTAATCGTCACAAATGCTGTTTGCATATCAAACCTGAGAAATCAGGAAATCCAGGCAGTGCAAATAAATATTAAGGTTTATTGCAAGCTTACATTCTCTACAAGAATCTGAACTACTAAGGGCCACAGCAAATTGGCTCTTGATAAGAGTCAATGCAATTCATGGTAGGCTGGAATCAGATCTCTTGTGGTCATGAAGGAACTTGAGACTGGTGACACATTTGACCCCTCCCTTGGGCTCAGTGTAGTTATTTATTTTGTGGATGTTTTAGTGATTTAATGTTTTTAAAATTGTTTTATAATTTTAGAATTGTAAGCCGCCCATAATGAGTTGGGCGGCTATAGAAATTGAATAAAGAAATAAATACATACAGTTTTGAGAATCTGGAAGAGTCATTGCTTTAGCAATGTATACATTTATATATGCTTTCTCCTTTCTGAGGTACCTTTTTCAAAGGATTGATGTAACTCCAGATGATAGCTTATATTTATTGTATATAGTATGGGTTTCTTTATGCTGTTTTGCCAATGAATGAAAACCAGAAACAAATTCTTTCAAGAGAATTGATCTTTAGTTATCAGTAAATTTAAATGAGCAATTTGCCAAAATTAGAATAATATTAATTGGATATTAGAAATGGTGCCAACTTTACAATAAGATTGAAAATATCCCACTGTTATGCAATATGTTAAATATGATGAAATAAAGAGGTAATGATCATGAAAGAAAGGAAATTAGAAAAATATTAAATAAGCTGCTAAAATAGATGTTGGACTCACATATTTACCTCTGAGTTCATTGCATGTTAATTCTCTGAAAGTTTTGTTTGATTAATTCAAATAATTGCTCATACTTCTATCTGCTCAGTTTTATACTATATTCATTTATCTCCCTAAATAAAGTAAAAATATGCTCCAATCCTTTGGGTCTGGTATTTCCCATATCATCTATCAGTTTCATTCCTAAATCTAATCTCTCTTCCAAAATTATGCTCCTCGTTTGAATAAATGAGGAAAAGAAAGCTTTAAACTGTGCTCCAAGATTTAAAATGTTGCCTGATTGGAAGCTTTGATATAAATGTTGATGATTATATCAGAGGTCACATTCCTGTGCTCTTAAGAAGTAATATTTGTCCAGAGACACTACAAGCTTATGGTTACACTAAGTGCCTTAACGCCTGTTTTGAATAATTAAGCAATGTAAATAGAGCAAGAACAAAAATAACCATGATTCATGAATATCTGTTTCAGTGAAGCAAAGTGAATGTTATTTCTTCATGAAATAAAGCTGACCAGTCTTCTGCATTTTTCTTTTTGTCTTTCTGCAGCAAGAGATGAGAATGTAGCCACTTTCCGTGGCTCCGAGTACCTGTGCTATGACCTCTCCCAGAACCCCATTCAAAGCAGCAGTGATGAAATCACACTGTCCTTCAAGACATGGCAGCGCAATGGCCTTATCCTGCACACGGGCAAGTCGGCTGATTATGTCAACCTGGCTCTGAAAGATGGCGCCGTCTCACTGATCATTAACTTGGGATCTGGAGCCTTTGAAGCCATTGTGGAGCCAGTCAGTGGCAAATTTAATGACAACCAATGGCACAACGTAAAAGTGACTCGCAACCTGCGGCAGGTAATGAGGAAAGGAAGAGAACTGTGGTAAAGTTCTGTTGTAGTGAATAAATGTAATAGTAAATTAGTAGCTAGAAGGAAACTTGAAGTAACTTGAAGGAAAACAAGTGCGCTTTCATTTACTATAACTTGATCTCATTGCAATAACTTCATTTCCACTTAATAATTTTCTACCTTTCCCCCCATCTCCAATTTATTTTAACACTATGTTTTGTGACTTCACTTTTATCTCACTTTTCCTTTGCACTTCCCCCCTTCTTTTCCTTTCTTTTTTTTCTTATTTCCTTAATTACATTTCAATCTTATCAGTAATATTCTTGTTGCATTTAATTACAGTAGGAATGGAAAGTATTTCCTGCAGCAGCTTTATCCACTTTCTTTTTCTCCTTTATGTCCTGGTAATTGATTTAACCATTTCCATTAAATCATTACTTTAATTCTGTAATGGGCCTGATTCACTTGGACTTTCTTTTGCACAAACCTTTTACAATGAATGACAAACCGCATTGCTGCACATACCCAAGAATAATATCTGAGCAAGATCATTTTAAGAGAGTTTGTGCAGATGGATTTTTAGTGGATTGGGCCGATAATAGTCTTTGTTCTTCTGTTTCTCTCTATTTTTCTTTTATATGTGAAGTAATTATTTTAACCTTATGCTCCTGATACTGGCCGTACTTTTTCCAGATTTCCTTATTTCTTTGCTTTGATTTTCATTATGAAGCTATGCTACTACTGCTTTTGTCTTTATCCCTCTTTCCCTGTGATGACTACATAGACGAGGAACGCTTCTTTGAAGATCTCCTTCCCCATAATATTATTATTATTAATAATATTTTGCCCTTTTATAACTCCATTTATTACTTCTTTAAACACACAGCTTTATTTGATAATATTTTTACATTTATCCCAGACTTAAAGTAGCAAAACTCTTCCCTCTCTCCTAAAATATACACTTACGCTTTTAATAGGTACAGATAAATATAAATAACCTTCCTTCTGAAAGCTGGTGAAATATATTAACTCACTTGGGACCATTTGCAGGATGACAGATAAATATTCTATAGTATATAAATCCTTTTAGTTCTTACTGATTGGTAAATATTGTGTAGTTTGTCACCCATGATTCTTTCAAATAGATATTTTAACTTTTTATGTGTTTTAAGTGTTTGAAAAACACTTGTCACACATTTAAGCAAAGCATTGCATATTTATATTACTTGCACACGTGCATATTAAAACAAATAATTTTATTCTTTTATGCGATGGAAAAGCTGATTTAAGGAATTTCTATAATAATAGAACAGAATTATCCATGTATGTCTAAGGATGATAACAATCACTGTCAAGCTGTAAGAAAATCTTTTTCCCTCTTCTCCCCTCCCCAAATTTGCCCCTCCCAATAAATAGCTGAATTTCCAGAGTGTTCTCATATCAGTAGTCTTTTTAGAGAATGAATTATTTTTTCAAAAGCCACAAGAATTGGAGCCAATCTGTCTTTCCCAGGAATTCGATTCTGTTTAAGGGGAGCAGTAATGAAGATGGCCCAATCACATAGCTACTGCAGATGGCACTTCTTAGGGCCAGGATCTGGAAGGGTACTTCTTTTAATTCTTAAGAGATTGGCAGAAGCCACGTAAACTAGCAGTTCTACAAATGGTCAGATCCTGAGCCTTTTAGGGATTTAAAGGCGAAAATCAGCATCTTGAATTGCACTCAGAAGCATAGTGGGCAAACTCACTGCTTGAGCTATTATGTTCTGGATTAGCTGAACTTCTTGGGCCCAAACGAGAGCTGACCAAGGCATTGATGACAGCAAGCAAAACCATAAATGTAGCATATATTTTAATATTCCTGGAATTCTAAATCTAATTTGTTGCTGTTCAATCATTGAGTGACTTCCAAGTCATAAATTACTCAACATTTAACTAAGATTGTCTGTCACTAACTGCTTCTATAAATTCTTGCAAGCTCACATTTGTAATAACATAAATAGCATCTAGCAACCTTGCTTATGCTGTCCTTTTTATTATTTTATTTTTTTCTCCCAAGCATTATGACCTCCTCCAGTGACTTTTGCCTCTGGTTTTATTTCATCTAATATAAAATGATTACTTCATTCAGTCCAAGGTACTATCAGCTTTTTCTCTAGTGCCACAATTCAAGGACATTAGTTTTATTTTATTTAATTTAGCTTTTCTGATTTCACAGCCATTTATTTATTTTATTTTATTTTATTAGAAGTTCACAAAATTAGTTCTCTCACAGTTTTCCTTAGCTTTCCAACTGGGAAATCACATTTCAGTATACCTTTTGATCCATTTTTTTAGGTAGTTACATACTAAGAACTCTTTGCCTGTTTTAACATAACTTTGAAACCAGAACACTTAATTTTGCTTCTTGGGAAACACCAACAATACTGCTTTTCTAGATTTCCTTTTTACCGTATGTTTTGATTAATAAGTCTCATAACTTTAAAGTGTTTTTTGCTATATTTTAAAATTTAGTTTCATTCAGAGCAGTTTGATTTAATTTAGTTTAATTAATGGTATCAGGCCAAACTCTGGTTAAAGGAGCATTGGACTACAGCACTACATCTGAATCAGAGGTGGGTTCCTGACAGTTCTAACCTCTTCTATAGAAGAGGTTCCACAAATCTACCATGCCATTTAGAACCCTATTCCAGCTCCCTCCTCTCTCCCGTCCACACCACGCTTGCCCTGCCTGCCACTGACTGATTGGCTGGGTCATCAATTGCCCCACCTGCCTCTAAGAGTCCTATCTAAACCTTAAAGTCTTAAAGCTGTCAAGTTTGAACATCCCTGGGGGTTTTTTCTAAAGGATTTGGGGTGCAAGGGTCTTGTAACTTGACAGCTTTAAGACTTGCACACTTCAATGCCAGAGTTCCTGAGCCAACATGACTGGAGGAGGAATTCTGGGAATTGAAGTCCACAAGTCTTAAAGCTGTCAAGTTTGAACACCCCTGGTTTTTTTTTTCTAAAGTGTTAGGGGTGTAAGGGTCTTGTAACTTGACAGCTTTAAGACTTGCGTGCTTCAAATGCCAGAGTTTCTGAGCCAAAATTTTGGTTGCTAAGCAAGAGCGTTGTTAAGTGAGTTTCACCACATTTTACAAGTTGGCCAGGCCCACCCAGTCACGTGACTGCCAAGCCACTCCCACTCAGTCACATGGCTGGCAAGCCACTCCCACAAAGCAGGCCACACCTACAGAAAAGGTTCTAAAAATTTTTTGAAACCCACTACTGATCAGAAGGCAGAAATTATTTCCCTTGGGCTAATTATCTTATTTCATTTAAACTCTCTCATCGTCTGGAAATGGTTATCCTAAAATGTAATTTTAAACTATAACTTTTGATTCATTTTATCCATGTTTCATGCACATATATTTTTACCCACCACAAACTTACATTTTTATAATAGTTGTTTTTTAAAATTCTCTTTCAATTTAATAACTATTTTAGTTAGTGGTATATTATTTTTCTATAAATAGGAGAGAATTTTATTTAATTATGGGAAAAATCCAAAGTAAAACTAATATTCCTAGCTATAACCCAGCTGCCTGTTCAAAATACAGACAGGGGATGTGGCAATATACTGTAGAATTTACAGCAGTTTTTAAAAAGTAGATATTTGTTTTTGTTTTTTACATATTCAGACAATGTACATGTATAACAGAATGAAATAACATTTTTTGTTGGACAACAGCATTCCATTTTTTCTCTTCTTGGTTCATGGAGCGCATTAAAATTATCATACTACGGAATACTTTTCAATTAAAAAACTAATGCAGGTTTCTGTGAGCAGGCATAAATGTTTGTCTCTCTTATAATTCAAATTTACCTATAGCCTGATACCATAAACTTATAAAAGAACAGCTATACATTCATTTTTTAAAAAGTATATGCAGTTTTTTTTAAAAGTCTGTACATAAAAAATAATATTTTGTTGCATAGTGAAATCACTATACACTAACATAATTCAAAGTAGTTTGTGCCCCAGTAAATTTCCTATATGGTTATTTTAACAAAAAGTGTTTCTTTTATTGAATGTAAAACTTTTTAATGGTAGAATTGGAAAAGTGTCCATATTTTTCACCAGCACTTTCAGAAAAAAGGTTAGTAACATTATTTGTTTTTCTTGTAGATACACTTAAATATGCCGATCCAAATAATATATAAAACAAAAGAAATTGTACAAATTCTATGTGCCATGCTTCTCAGTCATGCTTTCCAGCATGTGACGAAAGGTTTCTTAAAATAATAATTGATTAAAATGATTAAAAATAAAAGAATAGGAAGATAGCACTTATATTGCTACTGCAATATGTTTCTGCTAAATATTTTAATGATTTGATTTGATTTTGAAGCCAAACTTCACAGTGACAATTAAAAAAAAAAAAAAAGCACACATGAGCTGCGGTGGCACAGTGGTTAGAATACAGTACTGCAGGCTACTTCTGCTGATTGCTGGCTGCCTGCAATTTGGCAGTTCGAATGTCACCAGGCTCAAGGTTGACTCAGCCTTCCATCCTTCTGAGGTCAGTAAAATGAGGACCCAGATTGTTGGGGGCAATAGGCTGATTCTGTAAAACCGCTGAGAGAGGGCTGTAAGCACTGTGACATGGTATATAACTCTAAGTGCTATTGCTATCAAAAAAGAACATAGCCTATCAATAACTGTTATTGTCCTGCTTTTGCCTTTTCATCAAAATTGTATTTAAGGACACTATTAATATTATTAACTTCAAATAATAAAATATAATAAAATAGTACAAATAAACATGAAAGAAAGACAAATTTCTTTCAAATTGTAAAATTTAAATGTATCTGAGCAGGAGCTTGAACAGAACAATCTTGTTGATCTCACTCAACCCACAATCACTTAAAGAACTTAATTTCACAATTAAAGGACTGCAGCATTTTTTCCAATAAATTTTAGACTTGTTGCAGATATTACCCTCTTTTTTTGGTGCATCTCTACTTAAATAAGTTTACCAGGCTGTTGAAAATGATAAAACACAATGAAACACAATGAAAACAGTAAAATCTATTTGATGAAGTGAATGTATACATTACAGGGAATTACCCTTAGTTTTAGTGTTTTAGGGGAAAAAATACTTGTCTCTCAAGTTTGCATAATTAATCAAAGGATTCCAGCACCCATTGGAAACTAAAAGAACTAAAAACTCAACATATGTTTCCCCATGTCGGTAACATCTCTAAACACTACTAATTAAACATTTCTTTGAAGTCTCTCAAACAAATATGTACCACCAAACTTGGCAGTTTGGAAGTCAATTGTAAAACTATCCATGGGTAAGAAAGACAAGTCTCCCCTTTCCTCAAATGACATGTTAAATTCTGTCAACCTTTTTCCATTCAATCCAAAATACCTGATGCAAGCAATCTTCATGCCTCCTTCAATTAGGGAATCTTCTCCCCACTTTCCTGAATATTACAGGTGAGCTACATGTTGTCTCTGTTAGTCTGGATTTTTATATTCTGTATGTCTTTCCTAAAAATTCAACTACCATACAGGAAAAAATAGCCCTGGGAATTGGTGGCTGTATAGAAATTGTCAAGCAACTGTCTATACTCAAGAGATAGGATGAGTTGATTAGACTATCTGAGCTATACCTGAGGCTCGTATTGAGTGGAACTCTAAAAGGAGGTTGAAATGGATTGGGAAGTGGGACGGAATGGTTACTCATGATGGTTTGTCATTATTTATGTGGGTGGAGAAGTACAGAGGGTGAATACATATTTGATTTTCACTTGAAAAGTAAGTATTGTTTGTATCCTTCAAATTCTACTCGGATTTTAGAGGAAATGTCCCTTGTTTCTGACAGTGGGCTGGGTAACTAATAGCATAAGAATGGGAAGGGCAGGCAGCTCCCTTCCTTCTAACAATCTTTATGGCATGGTTCCCAGACAGTCCTGCTCATGCTGTCCTCTTTTTCACTCTGTGTGTGTCGGGCACCCCATGCCTTTTTTTGAAAAACTAACACTAGACCATTCATGCAATGTGTCATTTTTACTAACCGACTAATGTACTAACACCCTAACGACTCATCTTTGCTTTTGGTTATTTTAATTAACAATCGTTCTGTTCACAATTTTTTAATTTCCTTTCTTCCCCCTTTTCCGCAAAGCACTCAGGCATTGGACACGCTATGGTAAACAAACTACATTGTCTGGTAGATATCATTCTTATTGTCTCTTTTTTTGGGTTTGCCGTGTGTTATCTTCCTTTCCCTCTCCATCTCCCATCCCCTATTTTTCTTCCGCTTTAAACTTACCTTCCCCTTCTTCTTCTTCTTCTTCTTTTGATTTTGCTATAGTTACCTTTTCTTACTATTTGTATTTTTATATATTTTCCGTAAGACAAAAACAAAGGAAAATAAATACAATAGTTCTGGAAATGGGATTTAATTATCTCTTTCGCTGGCTTCTTCACTTTATCTATTTTAAAAGATTTTTTAATTCTATTTTTGTCAATATTTTGCTAATCCCTTTTCTTTCTTTCCTTTAGTCCCCCCCCCCTTTTTTTTAAGTTTGGGGAGGTGAGACTTTTTTCCCCTTCTTTTTCTGTTTTTTTCCAAAGGTTTTTAACTCAACTACCATGTCAGGGCCTACAGTTTGTTGTTGTGAGCCCACTCTTCCCCCCCCTTTTTTGGGTTCTAATAACAGTTGTAGGCAAAACTGGGCCAAACTTCCCTCTTTTTTGCTCACTCCATCTTAACCTCTTCATCAGGCCAGCCTCCACACATATTCTTTCTCTGTCTTTTTGAAATTCCACCAGCCATAACCAACAGAAGCTCAGCCAGTTGTTTGGTTCAGGGCAATATATACGCTGCATGGCATGTCTATGTCTGGTTAACCCCCACCTCCTTTCCCAAACACCATACTGCATCTATCTCTCCCCATCTGTCCACCAAGCCACTAATCTAACTTTTAAATCACATACATATATCATTTTCACAACCTTCCTTTCCTGCCCCCCCCCCCCTTCTGTTTTCCATTGCCCTCCATGAATTAATGGGGTTTGGACTATTTTTAGATTTTTAAATTTTAGTCTTCATTTCTTTTAAGTTTTTCTCCTTTTATAATTTATGGTTTCATATTTTTTTTTGCTTTTTTTTTAAAAGGAATGCATGCAAGTGTGAAAAATATCTCTCTTAGGATACTTTGTCCTTCTGGATTTTGAAAAAAAAAAACAGTGGCATGGGTGTGCTGAAGTACAGAGTGTGAGCACGTTTGCCATTTTTTTCTCTTGTTTTCAAATTCACTTTATATTTTTTTCCATTTTTGCTGATGTATGGTTGACTTCTTTCTTTCATTTTTTTAATCCTGTTTTCTTTTTAAATTTTTGTACTTTTTTTCCTTTTTAAGTTGCAGTAATGGGTGGTGGTGGGCGTCTTTGTAGGCACATAGCATGTTCATTCCATAATGTATTGAAAGTGAGATCCCTTTCCTTCCTCCCTTCCCTGAATGCATGTTCATTTGTGTGCTGTGAGCCAAATAAATACAAAGAAGCAAAATCAAATATATCAACTTCATCATTAGTGTCTTTGCTAACAGTCATAACTAACAATAATCACTACCAATAATGGCTAATCAATCATACTATCAGCTCAGATAAGCGCTCCCGTCCACCAATTGCTCCATTTTCTGGCCTTATTAAATGGAAGCCATCAATGGCAGGTAGAATAGCTTATCTTTTTTGGCAGTAGCAAAGTTGAACTAGCCATGCAGGAGGGGCAAAAAGCAGACCAGAAAATGGAACTGAGCTGCAATGAATCAACAAAGATCAACAAAACCTATCCTAGAAGTTTTATAAAAATAGGGAGAGGACTTGCTCTTTTAAGAACCATAAGGTCATTGCTGGGAATTTTGTTTTTCTTTTCCTTTTTTTGTTTTTGTTTTGTCCATTGCATCCTTCAAACAGGTGACAATCTCTGTGGATGGAATCCTCACCACTACTGGCTACACACAAGAGGATTATACTATGCTTGGCTCAGATGATTTCTTCTATGTCGGTGGAAGTCCCAGTACAGCTGATTTACCTGGATCTCCTATCAGCAATAATTTCATGGGTTGTCTGAAGGAGGTAAATGTTTCAAATCAACAGCATTATATTTCTCTGTATTCTTTGCTAAATAACTTCTTTGTTTGCCAGTCTTTTTTTTTAAAATTGAATATCACACTGTATATACTGTTGGCAAACTTAGCCTGTCCTCATACAACTGAATGAATCTTCCACATGTAAAAGGAAAGGATACTGATAATCTTAGAGAAACCTTAAGGTTTGCAGAAATATAATAATGTTGAAGAAAAACACGCTAAAGCAGAAATTTCTGTTTGACCAGGAAATGTTGACTGCTCTGAAAATGAGAGGAAATGGAATGGAGTATGCTATAAAGGGACTCATTGGACTGACTGAGTTCTCTGTAAATGACATTAGATGAATAATGTATTAAATAAAGTGGGTTCCTTAGTGAAACCTGCTTCACAGAAGATTTGCAATTCCAATAACAGCAGTCAAATCAGCAAGAGTGATGGTAAAGAAGAATTTAACAGGGATATTGGGATAAGATTTAATTGAGATGGGGAAGGAAACAGTTGGCTGTTTATGATAGAATATGACTTGGAAAGTGATGAAAGGTTGTTGTTTTTTGAGAAATAAATTACTGAAATATGGGGAACATACAGGATGTTTTAGAGGGGAAAAAATCCTTGTAAGTTGCAAACAATATAGTAAAAGAGAACAAGATGAAAAAGGCACAACAATTTTCATAGATTTTTTTTAAATTGTATTGGGTGAAAAAGACTAAACAAGGAGCACCTACCAGGTTGAGTGGAATGGGAAAAAAACCTGCAAATGATATTTGAAATTAAAAGAAAAAAAATAGAGATTTATACATGTGTGATAGTGATCCATCAAAAACTGAAATGAATGTAAGTTTCAAAAAATAAGGTGGAAAGCAAGTAATCAATTATGTGAATATATTGGAAGAATAATGATGCAGGGTAGGTGGGAAATGTTAAAATATGAATCTAATATACCTTTGGAATGATGCACAACTTATTTAACATCTATGCAAAGATTGCATCTATGCCTGATTATTGGAATAATACTACTATTCCCCTTTATTCCCTCTTTGTAACAAGTAGTACTGTAATTGCCACTAACATCTTCAATAATCGGAATGCCTTTGCAACCCACCACTAACTTCATGCACATCTTCCTTACTACTTCTCTCTACAGCATTAGATCATTCAAACAATCTGGAAGGTTGGCAATGTCTGAAATCGCCCTCCAGAGTTGCTGGGATTAGTAGTTTGCACATGCTGGGAGCAGGGAAGAATTCTGGTCATAATCCCCCATTCTCAATTGAATCAAAGCTATAGAACATGTTTCAAAATCAGACTTGGAACAACTGAATTGTCCCCTTTAAATCCATGCCATTTTTTTTTATCATCCATTTTAGACAGAACGGTTTTTGCATCCAGGCCTTTGAACAGATGATTAATGGTTTAATTTCTAATAACTTTTCATTTTATGGAACCCTGCTATGTCTCTGCATCTGGTGATCCAAGCTATTTAAAGCTGTGTTAATTTTGCTAATTGCTCTATGTTTATTTGGATTACTGGCACCTGCAGGTTTTGGGATCATGTTTGGATCTTTATAGTCTCCCGGCTCCTTAGTGGGGAAAATGGACAGAACAGTTTCCTCAGTTAAAACCAATAACCTTGGCAGAAAGTCCTAAATCATGTTTGTCCTCACTTCCATCATCTATCACAGCTGAAAGCAGTGATTCAGAGTAAAGGATGTTGGAATGTCTCAGATAGCAGTCTTACTGTTAAACAACCATGTACTATTTCAAGAGGGTGATGACCAGACCAGAGAAAAAGTATTTGAAAGAACACCACTTTGTTTTTTATTATTTATCAAATTTGTTAGCTACCTAAAATCACATGTTTGTAGCAAACATCATATAAAAATATAAAAACACAGTAAATATAACTCTGTAGGATGCATAGATAGATAGATAGATAGATAGATAGATAGATAGATAGATAGATAGATAGATAGATAGATAGATAGATAGATAGATAGATAGATAGATAGATAGATAGATAGATAGATAGATAGAAACAGACAGACAGACAGTCAGTCAGTCAGTCAGTTCAAAAGCCTCTGGAAACATTCTGTATTTAGCTTTTACTAGAAGTCATATTTTCTAGAAGACCACACTGGAGACAAATTAATCTTCAATTGGAGGTCATTCCAGAAGACCAGTCTTATCAGCAAACAGCAGGATTTCCAGGCTTTACCCTTTTCTTGAAAATGGTGGAAATCAGTGCTTCTCCTGGCATGAGCATAGTTGTTGGGCTGACATTAGTGTAGAGATATGGCCATACAGATAGCCAGGTGTCAAATCGCAAATAACAATAACAGCATTTTAAATTGCACTCTGAAATTAATAGGAATCCCATGCAGTACCTGAAAACAGGCATAAAAAACTGTTCAATAGTCAACTTATGTGAGCACCCTGCCCTGTGTATTTTGCACCAACCAAAGCTTTTAGGTGGTCTTTGTAGAATGTGTTCCAGTGATCTAAATGGACTGGTGATGAGAGTATGAGGCACTGTATTCAGATCCTCTCACTTCAAGTTGGTAACTAGCGCAAGCTGGACAAAGGCTCTTCTGGCCACAGCTTCCATCTGTTGATGTAACAGGAAGTAGGAGAGCACCCAAATTGCAGATCTGCTTCTTCAGAAGGAGGGCAACTCCATCTAGAGCCAAAACAAAGGGCAAAAAGCACACCCTATTATTAACAGTAGCTCAGTCTTGCTGGCATTTAGTTTAAGCCTGCTGTTTTCCATCCAGACCTACAGGATTGTTGGGCACCAGGACAGGAGTTCAATGGCATTTCTGGCCCAACCTAGGGTTGTAGTATGCAATTGGCTATTATCAACATATTGATAATACCACATCCGAAACCTCCATATAGAGAGGTACAAAGAGTAGATGAATGGCCTCTGAAAGAGACAAGAGCAAAAAGATGCTTCCAAAGGAAACCAAAGGGGCTTGAGCAAAATTGTGAAAGTGGAAATGTCTCAGTCAGTTCACATGAAGATAGAAGGAAGAAATACATTCAGACTTTCAAGATTCCGTTATAATAAAAGCACTACTCATCTATATAGCAATGGTTTCCTAGTCTAGGTTTCTTTGAAAGGTGTCTGACACTCAGTGATTTCATATTAATATTGAATAACAAGCAGAAAAGCACTGATTCCTAGGTATCCTGCAAGGACCAAATGTGATTGGAACAACTGCTGGGGAAGGAATAAAACCATTGAAGAACCGTACCCCCCAAACCCTGGAGTCCATCCAGAGGGATACTAGGATTGAGGAACAGATCTGAAATCTGGAAAAATTTTTAGCAAATGCCATCAATCTCCCAGGTGTACTGGGATATTTGTGCCCTCTCCTCATCCCATCATGATCAGGAGGCCTGTGCCCTCTCCTCAATGCTCTGCTTAACAACATACATGGTCATTTAACAATTGCAATGGAGGAATCTGAGATTAGGGGTGTTGAGCAAAGTGATCACATGGTGTTTTATTTAATCACTACTTCACTCAATGGCTGAGATTCTGAGTCCAATTTTAAGTGGAGGATTACTTGCACTAACACCCAAATTTCAGCATCGGTCATCAAATAAAGTGACTAATGTTGTCTCTGTTTTGTGCCCAGGCTTAAAACATTAATTGATATAGGTCTAGATCAAGGCTGTCAAATTCGTGGCCCACAGGCCATATGCGTCACGCAATGCCCACGCCCACGCCTGGCTTAGCAAAGGGGAAAAAGTCCCAATACGTCACGTGATGCTGCTGTGACGATGCGAGTTTGACACCCCTGGTCTAGATTATACTTTTTATCTAGGAGTTCCATAGTTGTCCCCATCTGGTGTGAAACACCAGATCCAGATGTGAAAGTTCAATTAAGTTGATTTATTTATTTAAAAGCCTATGCACAGGAATCTTCTCAACAAATGGCCAGCACCTGGTTAGAGTTAAATAAGGCCAATGGTACTCAAGGGGTGGTGGTGATCTTAGTTTGCTTGTGGCTGTGCAGGGGTTTTAGGATGATCTTTCTTTTCACTCTATCCTCAAGTTCTGCCCGGTTTAAAGATTATTTAAAACACCTTGAGTTGTATGTGGAAAGCCACTGGAAGCCAGTGCAGCTCACACCACAATGCACTATTCAGGTGAACCATGAATCATTCCGGATCACAACTAAGGTCTTAGATAAATCATCCATCAGAGCCTCAGGAATAACCCCAAGTTCCCTCTGAACTCCTATTGGTTCCAACAATCACCTGGGGTAGGCTTATCCTCCCTGGAGGCAGTTGCAGAGAACTTCAGGGCCAAGAAGGAGTGACCTGTCAATAACAAGGGACAGATATCAATGTCTTTTTATCCCAGATTGCTTTGCTACTGCCCTTTCCTACTTATATGCTTTTTCTCTGGTTTCCCTTCCTTGAGAATATCAATATGCTTAACATCACATGGATGTTAACAATAGAAAATGTCTCTCCATTTTACTTTCAAACTATTTTTTTTAAAAAAACCTAGAATTTCATTAAAGTGACTGATACTTATTTCAGCCAACAGAAGTGATACTGAACAAATCCAAAACAATCTACCAGTACTGTATAATTGATGATTTGGTTCTTCTAAAAGTTCTGATTTCCTACTCATTTTGGAATTTAATGATCCAGTAGAAGGTGAAATCCCTCTCAAACCTTTCTATAAGGTAAAGGTTCCCCCGCATATGCATACTAGTCGTTTCTGGCTCTAGGGACGGAGCTCATCTCTGTTGCTAAGCTAAAGAGCCAGCACTTTCTGAAGACTTCTCCATGGTCATGTGGCTGGCATGGCTAAATTCCAGGGCGCATGGAGTGCTGTTATCTTCCCACCAAAGTGGTTCCTATTTTACTACTTGCATTTTTTATGTGCTTTCGAACTGCTCGGTTGGCAGAAACTATGACAAGTAATGGGAACTCATCCCATTACACAGCACTAGGGATTCGAACTGC